TTTTAAGCCACTAGTACCAGAAAGATTTTTACAGAAGTAAAATATTTAAAAAACAAAGATTTAGGGGAAATCTTTGTAAATCCTCCTACAAGAACTTCATGCACAGAAAAGAGATGAAACAAGGTAATCAAACACTTGCTACAGGAAGAGAAGGTGGTGGTGTGACCTAATTGTGGCCTTCCAGTACCTAAGGGAGCCTACAAAAAAGAGGAACAGAGGCATTTTACAAGGGCATGTAATGATAGGACAAGGGGGAATGGACTTAAACTAAGGTTTAGATTAGATGTTAGCAAGAAATTCTTTACTGTGAGGGTGTTGATTTTCCAATTTCTTTTCCATAGTGGAATTTAAATGAATAATCACGAAAAAGGTTGTAAGTGCAGGAGAGGTTTTCACACATATGTAACACTCAGTGCTTCCATCAGTTCCTAGGCTCTCTGTACTTGAGTTCCCTCGAGGAAAGCTCTGTACTTCATCAACTTCCTGCCTTCCATAGAGCTGTTGCCACATTTTTTCACATGGCTTTTTCTCTGCTTCAGAGAGTAAAGTCAGATTGACAGAATTAAAAATACAGGGCCTCTTTAAGGTACCCTTGCCTTATTGAGCCCTTCTAGGGCAAGAAAAGGTTCCTTCATAGATTTGATTCTGAATGCTCAGACACAAAAGAAAAAATATCTTTTATATTTACTACAGCATAAAAGCCATGTTCAGTTTTCCTCTATAGAAGAGATGCTTATTTCTCTTAAAATACACCTTCATAACAAGGTAAGATAAAAATGCTTAACAATTTTATAGTGTCTGGGCCAAAATAATCTTCCAGTGTTCTACTAGCTCTCATGTGGGCCTCCCTATTTGTATACACACATCTCATATGCATAAAAGGCTATTTCAATACCTGCACTTTTCATGACTGCACAGTAAGCTCTGATCTGATGTCTCACCATTCCACAGTATCAAAGGGCAGGAAAATTGTAATCCTGTTCATAATTTCCAGAGTCTGAAGCATATATTAGTTATTTCCACAAACGCATGATGAAAAGGTCATATCACCTACAGTGATGATGATATTGGCAGGGAACAGTGATGTTACATCATTTAATTTGCCTTCTTTTTGTAAAGATGAGTTCATATGAACATCTCAGCTGGGGATCTACAAAATATCCTCTGCTGGGAGGTGGAAATTTGCACAGAGTACAAATGGAAATAACCTTTTTTCTGAAATTTGATTCCTACCCATGACAAGGCTTAATAAGTAACCAATACCAGTGGAGCATTCTACTCCCCTGCTTTGCAGATTTCCACCAGCAGTAAACTTTAGGTGTACAGAACAGTGCATCTGTGTGTATCCTGATGAAACAAATCCATACTCAGCCAGCATTAACAGCAAGATAACAATCAAAATGAACAACTGGTGTGATGATTGTGCCTACATCCTAGAGACAGACAGGAAAGATTGAAATTCTATAAAACTAAAGTTTACTCAGTCTTTTCTTAGCATCAAGAGTACTTTGCAGAAAGCAGACTGACTATTTTTAATTGACATTCTGAACCCAAGGGTCAGAAATGCCTCTTTTCTTGAGTGGAACATAGAACACAGAGGAATGGTTTCTAACTAAAGTACCTGAAGCTTAGTCAGGAATCTAAAGTAGTAACAGCTCCTTTAGAGTTGTTCCACCTTCAATGGAAAGCAGTTTAAAATGCACCTTAGAGATGCTTGAATAAAGACTCACAAGAATACATTTCCTTGGCTGATTAACTTGCAGCAGCCCTATGACAAGCCAGGATGTCCTCACTCCTCAGGATCTCAGTCTACTCCATGTACAGAAAACAGGTGAAGATTGCTCACTGCTGCATTTCACAACATGGCTGGCTAAGTCCAACCTCTTCACTACAGTCACTGGACAGCAGAGGAGTAAAGGCATTACACTGAGGTCACTTTCTTAACTACCTCTTGGAAAAGCCTCCCAGCTTGGGCATCCCTCCAGTTGGTAATCCCCTCTCTAGTGCAGAATCTCTTCAAACAGTGAAGAAGGAGCCCTGTCCGTGGTGCTCAGGCACAACCCCATGCCACCAGGGAGGCTGCTGTGCTTGCACCTGGTTACACACCACCAGGCAAGGCCAAAAGGGATAGAAGAGAAACTGAAAACAAATCAGACAGCAGTCCAGATGAAAAGCAAACAAACAAACAAACAAAAAACTCCAACAAAAACCTAAAACAAAGGCCTCATACTGTTGCCAACAAAGGTGTATTAAGATTAAAGGGCTTTTACCTGAGTCTATGTAAAGATCCTACTTTATAGGCTGACAGCAGAAAGCGCTATTAACTACAACATATGTGTATATATATTATATATGGACTGAGACTATACCCTGAAATACCACCTGCACTTAGCATCAAAACACTTTATCTCCTTACAGCAAAATGAACTGCTGAACATCTAAGTGTTCTGGAGAGGTAAAATGCAATAGACAGGTGAGCATCACTTGACAAGACCAGAGATCTCTCACAGACAGCACTTCACTCATATCCTTTGCAGTGAGTTATTTTCATATCATGAAAAAGTGTAATAACTTATGTCCTGAGGAGTCTGGATGCTGTTCCAAAGATGCCTCTACAGACTATCTGGTCCATCCAGACTGTTTGTACCATCATGTGGGAAAACTCCATGACTGCAAATGAGAAAATATTTGCTCTCCAAGCTTGATGGCTGGGATACAATGGCACTTAAGTGCCAGAGGAGAAGGCTGGGTGCACACACCTTAACTGCTGTGAGCAAGGGAATAATCCTGCCAGATTGCAAGGGCTGTTTTCACTCTTACAATGGGGTACAAACGAGGGGGAAGAAACCTCTTATTCTGAAAATAAATTCATTTTAGGTTCCAAACAAGATATGCCTACATACTAGAATACAAACTAAAGCTGATCTTATATTTGTGACAAAGTTTAGCTCAACAGCATATTGCATTGTGTTGAAAACTAGACCATTAGGAAAGAAAACACATTCATTACACACTATGAGTTGGGCAAGCATCCATGGAAAAATATAAAATGCTTTAGCCTGATTTTCCACCCAGTTAATCAGTACTGAAGCCAATGGAATCACTGTATAATTAAGCAGATTTCTGTAAAGAGCTCATAACAGTTCACACTGCTTTAATAACCTCCCCATGCGTCAGAGAAGCTGAAGAAAGTTTCAAGACTGAAGGAAAGTTCAAGAAACAGTATCAAGCAGTTTAGAAAATATGAAAATTGATAGCAACATGTAACATCATGGTGATGACAGTCACAAGCATTTTACAGCATCAGAATATTGTATCTCATTAATAAGAAGCGTGACCATATTTTCTCCTCAGTTTGGAAGTAAAAAAAGCACAAGAGCATGTGGTATGCATAAGAATTACTCTGTCATGCATCATGTTATAGTCACATTCATATACCATAAAAAATGCTAGTAACTTGTTTCATATAGAAGCACCATTTTTAACTACATACATTATGCATAGAATCCCGTGTTTGGCAAGAAAAGAGCTAAAGAAATACTGCCTGATACACTGGAGAAAACTAATACACTTGTTACACATTTTATTGCTTTACAGATCTTTAATACATTAATCACACACATACTCTCAAGAGCAGGAGTTTACCACTGTATGAGAAACTGAAGTTAGGCAGCAGGATGTACAGTGCTGTACTAAGCACGACTACAAAAAGGACAATAATCATTTAGTTATCGAAAGGGCAGATAAAAGTGCAAAAATCAAAGTGATCATTAAGGACAACAATGACATCTAGTGGATACTCGGGAAACTGACCCACAGCCTAACAGGTGAAAGGATCCAGCCGCCCTTCCTCAGATACTGTGCAGCTCCCAAATTGCTATGATACAATTAGGAAGATGGACAGAATTTACAGCTGATGAAAGTCAAAATAACGTGATGATTTATTTCTTCCAAAAGAATATTTAATTAATTAAAGAAAAATAAAACATGTCAAGAGCCTTCCATTTGATATTTAGGATAAAAGTGTAAGTCAAAACTTGAGAGAACATCACAAATCATTGAAAGGATATAGACAGATACATAATGCTAACAGACATCTCTACTACACTATTTTTTACTCCCACAGCATCTACAGCTTTGTACTTACAACTTCCTCTTGGGACTTTGGTTTTCAGTCCCAACAATCCAAAGTGAAAAAAATAAAAACCCCAGAAGTAAAACTTCGAGCCACCATTTAGCACCACCCTTTTCTCATCATCTCGATCCTTCTGTTATTGTAATACTTGCCATATAAGGCTGCTAAGTTAAACCTTCCCAAAATACCAGCCAGTAACTGCTGAGCTCCAGAGCAGAGGAATTTGGAACATGAGGCTACCCTGACCCAGAATGAGCAAAGATACCTGCTTATAAGTAACCCAATCAGTTTCCAAGGTGGACGTCTACCAAGATCATGGATTATTTCAAATCTGCTTTTACTGTTAACCAAAAGGTAGGCAAAACTAAGCACTTAAAGCAATTCAAATCTTATCACAGTTCTGACTAGAAGCATCACCATAAAAATACTGGATATGATCTTTTTAAAAATAAAACACTAACAAAACACTACAACACTGTCTCATTCAAAATCTTAAGCCGATCTGAAGAACAGAAAATTGGATTTTGCTTCATATTGTTAAAAAACCTCATCCCATCCAAAATTTTTGCATCTCAATAACTGTCGAGAATTAATAAGAAAAATAATAGAAACAATACTCAAATGTAAAAATTTATGAACATATTCAATTATAATGATGTTTGGTAAAAAGAATATGATAAAAAATAACAGAAACCAATCTACTAAATTTAAAGACAAAAACTAAAAGCACATATCAAAATAAACCCAGCCATTTTCCCCCTTCAACACAATGCCATATTTTACCATCAAAAACCGCTTTATTATATCAGATGTCCTAACAAGAGAGAATTGTTTTAAGACAGAATGCAAAGCATCATTGACCTACCCGGATTTCCTGGAGATTATGAAAATTATTTCCTACTCTGACAGAGATCTTGCTTGGAGTGTAACTTTCATCAGATTTGTAGTCTGCATAAATACATAAGGTCTTCACTGTTGTTTTTCTTCTGCAAGAAGCAACACAAGCTATGTAAGCACCATAAAGAAAAATATTTGGGATGAGTTTGTTGCTAGCTTGCTATAACTAAGGATTTAAATGTTCTGAAAATGAATATGTGTGCCTAGTGATTCATAAGAAACTTGCTGTTGAACAACTAGATGATTTTCCACATTACATTATGCACACAGTTGATTTTCACCATTCTCCTTTGCTTGCCTTCAAAAATGTCAGTATACCAAGAAACAGATGCCAAATAAGCACTTGTACATAATGAAGTTTAAGTTAGGCTTTTCAAATATGGGCTCTCTTATTACACCAAAGCCTTTTAAAAAAAGTAAATAAAGAAGGGGGACAAACATCTCTTCTCAAGTTTTGTTAAAGAAAAAAAAATGAAAGCATCCTAGACAGGATGGAATAAAAAAAGGTTTCTCAAACTCATTTGTTAGGTTATGTCACCTTACATGAGTAAATGTGATGTTGTCACAACTGACATACTATTACACATTCATTTTCATTGCTTATTTAGATATTGAGTGATCATAACATTTGATTATCTTATTTTTAGAAATGCTATCTGACTTCCTACCAGTTGGGTAACAGAATCCAGGAATTCTTGCACTTCCTGAATTCCTATCTTATTGAGCAGTAATAAGCACCCTAACCCACAGGGAGTATATTTTAATACCTAAATTGGATGTTCACCAAATGAGGCTGTGATCCATCTGACTGCCAGTAAGTTTCTAGATTATCATCTCGTAACTGATCCACTCCAAACCCTAAGAAAAAGAAAATGTGATAATCTTGAACATCCCATTTCTGTGATGCAAATATATCTCTTCTTCAACTGTTACAAATTAATGTCTCCCAAGTTATAACATATTAGGAAATATGTCTAGACATCCAAGGTGCACCTATGCTTTTCTGACACAAAACTGAAATAGGGGAATCTGCAGAGGTTCAATACTGTTGAGGTCTGTGGGGTACAAATCCATGTCAACATGTCCTGGAATTTCAAGTGGTTAAGTAGTAATTCATGTTGGTTGCCAAAGGAATAATTAACAGTTAGACTTTTCCACATCTTCTGTAACTTAACTGCTGAACTAAAGCAAAATCATTAGCAGAGACCATTCACTATAACATTTTAGCCAAATGTAACATTTTCTTTTCAAGTCATGTCCTGAAATATTTTTGCTTTTTCAAGTACTAGCTAGAACAGGCAATAGATGGCAAAACCAGTATTATTCCTAAAGGTTAATGCCATCACATTTGAAGAACCAACTCCAGCTTTGTATTTTCTAGTCCCTCATTATCCTTTTACTTAATTACATCCTTTTATTGATTGTCCACACTAGCTACAGTTCCAATATAGCAGCAGAAGTTTAATAAAAAATTTCCTTCAGTCTGTTTAACCAACAAAACCACGAGACTTTTCTTCTCCAACATTCCAGGATTTCAGACCAAAGTCATTCAGCCTGAGCACAATATTGTGACATAAAGGGATCACTAACCCCAGGGTGCAGCAAGACAGCTGATCAATTCCCAACAGATATTTCTGAAATAGCAACTCAAGCACCCCAAAGGGAAAGAATATAGATTTTCAGATATTTTGAGCAGGTATCACTAACTGCCCCTCAGGAGCACATGTTTATTTTACTTGCAGGGTTTTAGGGCCACCCTGTAACAGCTGAGCCCACACCAAGTTTCAAAGTTCAAGCAGAACATCTCCCAGCTGCACAGTCATCCTTAGTTAAAAATGGAAGACATCCAGAAAAAATGCCAAAGCATAGAAACAATTTTACTGTACTGGGTGTGATCCTGCTCACATGGCTTAGTTTGTTCACCACGGAAATGAAAAAAAAAATCAATATAAAATATATAAGAGTTCTGTTTAGTTCATATTAGATAGTTCCTCATAGAAGAATTTCTAAAACAGTTATAACTTTCATATTGTAACACATATAGAGAAGGCCACCATTATTTCTAGTAACTACAGCCTACACTACAGCATTTTTACTGCTGTGGATGTCTTCCTCCCAAAACATAAATGTACATTCAACTTTTTACATCATTGTTGTGATTTACCTGGCTTACAGGATGAAAGAGACCAAACTGCTTGTGAGCCTATTTCTCTAACAGTACCAGTCCTCTCTAACTGCTTTGGATCAGCACCAGGTGGGGTCTTGTTTGGGGTGGTCATTTCTAGTGAGAGAAAACAAGTGAGTTAGTTGACATATTTTTAGCTTGATGGGAAAATTAAAGGATTTTGTTCACATAGTCAGTTTAATTCTTTGGCTTCACACTTTTATAACAGCCTACAGAATTCATACATATTCACACATACATTTTTGCATGTCTGTTGAACATTTCATTTATATACATAAAGTAATATGTATAAATATCTAGAATATATATGGGCAATCTATGTAAGAGGCTCCACATATGTGTAAATTTTGTGTCCTTAAGAATGCAATACATGCTTGCAACATTCATAAGACATACTTTACTTTATCATTCTCATTTATGCATATAGAGTTAGGGTTTCAGAATTTGGTTTTTACAGTTCTGTTTTTTAAGAAATTAAAATTGCAAATGTTAATTTAAAGGCTAGCAGTACAACTTCATTTTCTCCCACTGATACACTTAAATGTTCTCTTAATCTACAAATTCAGAAACTAGAGCAAGAGATACTTCTCCCCTAAAATAGGAAATGGGAGTTTAAACAAATTGTATAATTTGTAGTAATTGGTTATAGCCACATTTATTTATGGACCATTTCCTGAACTTTACAACTTCATCTGGAATCATTAACTTGTGACTTGCATTGTTCAAGTAATCACACTCAGCCTCAACACCCAGACTATCACCACACATACGACAACTTAATTAAGCTGGGTTTTGTAAAGTACAGAGCACTTGACTATTTCCTAGGAAGTAGCTTAAAATATTTTTTAAAAAATTCCAAAGAAACATAAGTTCTATGAAAAGAACTACATTAAAGCTTAAAATTAACATAGAGCACTAAAGAGTCAGAGAATTAGAGCTGACCTCCCATCCTTTGCTTACATGCATGACACCACATCATGCTCTGCTAATCTCAGAAAAAGTCTTCAGTGCCCCTCCCAGACAGCAAATAAGGGACTGAGTTAGGCTGGGACCCACAAGATCCACGCCTTACCCACTACAGAACTGAAACCAGGCAGAGACAACATTTTCTATGTACCAGTGAATCTGCAGCTAAAATGTCCCACAGGACATCTGACTTCTCTAGTGCACCAAACACTTTCTATTGGCCCTGGAGTATTTTCTTTTAATTTTGCAAACATAAGGCTTGACACAGATATTTTACCTGCTTCCTCATATACAAGATTGCAGTCCTAACTACCATAAACAAAATCTACAGAAATAATCGCATGTGTAGAAAAATCTAAATACTGACAACAGCAACTGTCACAAAAGGCTTCAGACAAAATCCTTGTTCAAACACCATCCTCTCAGAAGAGATGTTGGACACCACACAGCTAATCCTACAGATATCATATATATATTCACAGACAGATTAATTTTAATGCCATGTAAATAAAAAAAAAAACTTGGAAAAAATTTACAAACATATAGTTCATAGCTACTTGAAAAACAAACATTCTTCACAAAATGGTTTGGAGTGGTGGAAGGGACCTTCAAAAATCAACTAGTCCACCCCCATGGTGCACCAAAATTCAAACTATGTTTATTGGGCACTGGGGAGACTATTATCCCAGACTTGTGAATTTTAAAGCTCAACTGACCTTCTAATCCAAACGGAGCAATTTTTTTTTTTTTACTTTTGTGACAGTGAACTAAAAGAGGTTGAGTTCACTCATTTTAATTCTCAGATTTACACAGACACCAAAAATACTGTTCTTCCAAAATTTCAACCTCACAAAGCAAAGCTAGATTGTTCACTTGTAATTCAAGTGATCATATCTCAAAAACATAACAGAAAACATCTTTTGAATATTATCACCAGCAAGACTTGACACTCTTCTGGCTTCAAGAGAAAATGAATGAAAAACTCCAAATCCCACCCTTAAGGCACAAGGACTACGCAAACATTCCATCAAAACCCACCAAAACAAGGTAAGTCACAGAAATTACATTGCTCACTCAGATTACATCACAAACTTGACTATATATGCTTTTACAAAAAAAAATTACTGGAATTTTCAAAGTATGCAGAATACCTTAAGATAATGATGTTGAGCTTTCTTATAAGCTTCAGCACACAGAGCAAAGTTCTAAATAGCTTAATAATGCAAGACTTGTATTGCACTGGTTCTCAAAAGTTGGAGGCATTACATTTTGGGGGTCTGAAATACACAGCAAGAAACACCATTCAAGTTCCCTATTGTTTTAAACTGAGCTTATTTTTTTAATCCAACAGGAAAAGATTCTCAAACCCCAAAATTTCAACTCCAAACCACTGCTAGCAAATAAATCAGCCACATATTGTGTACTAGTGATGGGAAAGACTGAAAATTTTCAATGGCTGAACTAAATGAGTCAGATTTTCATGAGGGAAGTTCTGCTCAAGAACAATACATTCTTGAGAGAATGTAGCTCCCCAATACTCAGAACTCTAAAACCTGAAAGCTGATAGAAGTACTAAGGAAAAATAATGGAGCAACAGGCCTGCTCACTCAAGTAATGCTTCTGGACATTTTACTAGCAGAAGTGCCTCATTTTAAATAAGACACCAATACTTAGCTCTAAAAGGAATTTAAGTCACCTAATAAATTTTTTCTTTGCTTTTTTAAGCTGCATAAAAATAAGTAATTTTTTTAGAAGGCCTTCTCCTTGACATGTGCTGAAAAATGGAAAGACACACTGCACCTTTGGAAGCATTGGCTGGAAACCTCTCTGATTTTCAATTCAGTTATTCCAAAAGATCATTAACAGGCTGCTGTTTCCTTATTAACAGCATGAATATATGAATGTCTTCACGACATGATCAAGGCCACACTTTCATTTTGCCATTTTCACCTCTGTGGTTTGCACATCCTTTGGTCAAGACAAAGCAGCAGCTTTTTCCCCCTTCCTTGAACTCTTCATCCCTCAATCCCTCATCTTTCTCACAGAAGTTCCAGAAAACATTCCAGCCCTGTAACAGCCAATTGAAGATGTTTTAGCAAGCACAGTTTATCAAGAGAGTGAAATGGATTTAAATGGTTGGACAGTCTGCCTTCCCCAGCCAAGCCAGCAGGGGCCACCTGTAAAAGCTGCACACCTGGAAGCAAACCCTGTGTAAGCACACAACACACCCAAGAGGAGATACTGGAGGATGGGCCTTTCCTATTGAAGCTCCATAAAAATCCCAGCTCAAGGAAACTTGCAGATTTCAAAGCAGTTTTCCCCTATTAGAACTTGCAATTCCACCACACTGTGTACACAGAACTATTTAAATACACACCTGAAAGGGACCTTGAGAGACCTGACTGTGCCTGAGAGATGTCTGTGCAGACATTTACTTCTCCAGCAACAGATCTGTGGACAGCCAGCTTCAGGTTTCATCAACCTGAAAGCTAAAGATTTTCCTTTAGCATCCAAATCAAGAATCACCACCTAAAAACAAGCATCTCTTGATCTACAGAGAACTCAAAGACTTGTTAATCACTGGCCTTTACACAGCAACCCTTCTATTGATGTGAAGGCACTCATCAAATTTGCTCTCAGTTTCCTCTTTTCTAGAGTGTCTATGCCTTTCAAGTTCCCCTCATAAAGTTTAATAAACCTAATATTCTTGCAGAGTCTAGACATCTATCACTGATGTTTAAAAAAATAACCAGACCGTTTTAGCTAAGGCCCTTTATCATCTGAGTAATCACTTTCCTTGTCTTTATATTTACTCACACTAGTTACTGGCACAAAGCAACACCTGGGTAGTTGAAACAACATAATTCTCAATTAATATTGGTTTTACTGTGCATTATAGTGCTCAAATGCAGTATAAATGCCCAGTGTTTTCTGGGATACTGTTTGCTGTTCATTGACACCACTTCCACTAACCAGGCCTTTGATTTTTTAATTCCTGTGTTCTCTTCCTCCCTCAGTTCCTGTGAACTGAGCTTAGTTACACTGATTTCCAACCTGCTACCAAGCTTCTCAAGGTGGCTTTTAATTCCAACCCTTAGCTGTACAGTGCTTGCAATCTTTTCAACTTTGAATTCCACATTCCAGGGAACAGTGAAAATACACTCAAAACTGAACTCTCCAGGAGCACATTTCATGACACCACTGTTTAAAAGTGAGTCATTTACAAGTCAGATTCAAAAGCTCTTAAAAAAAATCTTTAAATTTAATTATTTTCAGAGCACACTTTAGTAGCTTGAACAATGGCAGAAATCCTGTAAAACTCAAGGCAGACTCCTCATATTCTCCCCTTATTAAGAGCATTGGCTACTGTAAAAACAAAAAAAAAGTTTAATCCAGACTACTCTCAGCAAGCCACACTAGAATATTTCCTGGGTGCATGCTGATGTTAATTGTCCTCTATTTACTGACAAATTCCCTTCCCAAACCAACTCCTCAGAATCATTCAGGAGATCAGAGGTCATCTGGCTTTTCTCTCTTTTTTTATTCTTTTAAGAAGTAATACTCTGATTGCATTCCAATCATATAATTTTATTTAGTTTTAGCAAATATCTGACTATAGCCTTTCCAGGAAAACTGAACAAAGGCTGCACTGACTGCTTCAGCATTTTTACAACATCCATAAGACTGTTTTTCTTGTTCTTAACAGAAGGGAGTTTCATACCTAAGATTCCCTTATTTTCTTAACTACACTACTGATTTGCAAGCTCTTGTCCCTGCTCTCACTTTCTTTGGCTGGACCCTTGCTCTTCTAAGGCCTTTAAAGATCTCAAGATATATCTGAAAACCACCCTCTCACTATGCTTCCTATTTTTTTAATTAGATGGAAGATTAAACATTAAATATTAAAAATATTAATGCTTAATTAACATTAAATAATCATAGTAACTGTTCAGCAGCACCCTATTTTAACTGGCTCACCTGTACATTTGATCCCTCAGATTATTCTCTCAATCCAACTTTAATAAACTTATTATTTTTACCCTGCCTCCAGTGCATTGCTTTAAGCCTTTTAGTGAAAATTACCAGACTTTCATTGTAAAAAATAATTCCATTATAAGTAAAGATAGCTAAAAGAATTAAATTAGCAGTATTATACATATATTTCTAATCAATCTAAAAAAAAATAATTTTTAATATGTTTTTGGGAAAGCCCAGACTTTCCAAAGTTACCTGGTAAGGCTACAAGCAGTTCCTTAAAGGAGGCAAGCACATCTTTACAAGGAGTGTAAAGTGTAAATATTAGGTGGAAGCTGTGGTGAAAACCAAGAGCAACCAGAGGATGAAGCCGCTTTGAAAAACCAACCGGTAGCCATCCCCTCACGACTTGTTTGCAAAACTTTCAATCAATTATATTAGTTATAATTGTAACAATTATGAATAAACATAATGAAAGTAACCAGGTTTACAACACTGTACCGGGGCCATGGGCCTCAGGCCTAGAAACCGCTTTAGTATCGGAAATGAAGCAGCAGCACCTACTCACGGCACGGGCCCGCCGGATCCCGGCCCGGCTCCGCTCCCCGGCCGCGGGGGCGACGCGAGAGCCCCGCACGCACGGCGGGAGGGCATCCCCCACACCCAGCGCGAACACGCCGCCTCAGCCAGTCCCGCTTCTGCCCGGGCTGCACCTTCTTCCTCCTCCTCCTCCCCTCACGGCCCCGGTAGAGCCGCAGCTCCCACCTCTCTCACCTGATCCCGCCGGGAGCGGCCACAGCCGCCGCCGCAGCGGAGGGAACGCAATACGCGCGCGCCGCCCCGCCCGCTCCCCCTCAGGCGCCGGGGCCGCCCCTCACACGGCGCCATGGGCGGGGCGGGGCCGGCGGGAGCGCCGCGTCCCGGCTCCTCCGGTGTGGGAGCGAGCCTGGGACGTGCTCGGTATGGAACCCGAGCTCCCGAGGTGGCTTCTGGAGATGCTTCCCCACGGGAAGGAAAGCGCGTAGTCGCAGTGTCTCAGGTGCAGATGACGCGCTGCCCAGGGCAGGTAAAGGCCAGCAAGACCCGGGTGTCGTGGCACCCCTTCTCTAGGAGCAAACCGTGGGCACGATCACTGTTGGGGGTGGTGTCCTAAGTGAGGTGATGGGCTCCCAAAGAGAGTGACAGTTCTGCCCGATGGGAATGAAAGCACGTAGCCCCAGTGTTCCAGGTGCAGAAGACACGCTGCCCAGGGCAGGTAAAGGCTAGCGGGACCATTCTATCTTGGTACCTTTCGCGTTGTATCAATCCCCGGGCGTATCCGATATTAGAGCTCGCTTCCTAATGCCGAAACCGCGGTCGTGAAAAGGAATGGAACACCTTTCCTTGAGAAGAGAAGCACCGGTCTAACTGTTGCTGCTGCCCGTCACCACCTACGCGGCAGAGGCAGAGGCCAGCGAGACCTTTCCGTGCCGGCCCGGGAGCTCCCCTCAGAGCGCGGCCGCCGCTCGCAGGGCGGGCTCGGGGAGCTCGGGAGCCCCGACCCGCCCTGGGAGGCTGCGCTCCCTACGCACGGCCGCGCTCTAGGTCTCCGTGGTGAGGGGTACCGTCCTTCCCTCCCCTGCTCTGTCCCTGGCGAGGGCCGCCCTTCCTTCCCTTCTCTTCCTTCCCTCCCCTCCCCTCCTCTCCGTGGCGCGCGCCAGGCCCCGCCCCCCAGGCCCGACGGCCATCTTGGCCGGGTGGCGGCGGCGGCGCGAGCACGTTGCGCGCGCGGGCCCGCGCGCGGGATCACCGGACGCCGTTTCCCGGCCGCGGCGCGAGGGCGCCGCGCGCGCTCCCACCCCTCCTGCCCCCGGCCCCGCCGCACCCCCCTCACAGCTCCCGGTAAGCAGCGCCGGGGGGGAATCCCCAGCTTCCCGCACGGGAATGGAGGCGGTGGGGAAGGGGCCCCGCTCCTCATGGTGTGCTGCCGGCCTGGGCTCGGCCTGGGCGGCGGCCTCGCCCGTAGCACCGTGGGAGAAGGGTCGGCTCGACCGCGCCCCGCCCGGGCCTCAGGGCCGGAGACTCCCGGGGATCGGGGCTCGCTGCCGGCGTGAGCACGGCCCGGGCCGGCACTGCCTGCACACGCGGCACGTCATCCCCGACGCCTCGGGTTTTGTGGCAGCCGGGGTCAGAGCGCCGGCCCTGCTGCTGTTCCCGGCCGCGGGTATGGCTCCCTGTGGATGCAGCGCGGGATCCTCGCCTGGCGGCGGTGGCCTGGCTCTGGGAAAGGGAACGCCGGCATTTTGCTCCTATGAAAACTGGGAACTTCCTGCTCGGGCTGGGGGGGAAGGCCGAATTTTGCCTTCTTTTGAGGGAAGCTGATATCCACGTGGGTACTTGTGGGGCGGTGAGGAGATCAAGCCTTCCTGCAGGTGCGATAAGATAACGGGGTAAGGCCGTTTTCTGCGAGGTATGTGTAAAAACAAAAGAAGTCGGCAGGGCTTTTCTTAAGGACCATGGTAGTGTTTCCTGCCTGGAATGCATTTAGATACTTCACCTGCAAGTTCCTGTGACAGTTTTCACGTCCTAATTTAAGTTTCCCTGCTGTGGTTCCTTCCATAAACTGCAGTCCTAAACCAGTGGTCATGAAATACTTTCATTAGTTTCATTAGATTGCTAATTTACGGGTTCGTTCTCACGCATTTCCCTTCATGTTAAGGGGAAATGTTAAAGATTGAGTGATAATTAATACTGCTCAGCACAAGCTAAACACACCCACTCGTTCTGCAGCGTCAGTATACTTGACCATATGCTTTCATGTTAACATATTTTCTTATTCATGACGTGTCTTATGAGTAACATAATGATTTAATACAGTAGGGAAATCTGGGGCATGTCTGAACTTTTTTTACATTGCCTCAGTTTCTTAAATGTGAAAACCTTAAGCATAGACTAGTTCTTGTATCATTTACTGTTGTTTCTGCTTTGATACTTACAGATGTAGTGATCTCCCATATGCAGTTGAAAATCTCTTTTACTTTAAATTTCAATTTTCTTTGGGTATTCTAGTTCTTGGCTTTATTGTTCTTGTTATGGTGTGACTCTATGTAGTCCATTGGCAGTGGAGTTGAGAGGCAGTTCTCAATTGCTTGTTTTCAGTGGCAGCTGGAAATGCTGCTCACCTCACTTATTTCCACAGCACTTCTCTCTGAGGTCTCATGCACTGTAATTTTATGAAGTGTTCACTGGTTTTGTGCAAAGTAACCGAAGATGGCACAATTCTGAACCCAGGCCTTGCCTTCACATCTTTCAATGAATGGTCTCTGGTTCTGTTTCAGTCTTCATTTACTTTTAATGTTTAAATTTTTCTTTGTTTAAGCCTGAAAAATTCAGTGCAATTACAAATTCTTCTCGGTCATAATTGCCTTGACTTAGTAAATTACAATTTTGCTCTAATGCATGAGAAAGAAATAAATATTATTAATGCAAGCACATTGCACATGTTCTATAGATTGTACATTGCTGTTCCCTTCTGTGACAGATAGCAAGGTCTGCACGTGGACAACTTTTTTTATTTTTGTAATCTGGTGTGTCAGGGTGTGCAGCAGCTGTAGCAGACAGCCTAAGAATGCTGACTTAGAAGGCTTGTGATAACATGTTTGGTGTCTTATTTTTAGACATGTTTCATTTTTTGTATTAAATTACATAATTGAATGTAATGGGCAGTTTTTGGCTTTAATGAATGATACTGACAGGGCCTTTACAACATTTTCCTTTTTCTCTAGCCAGCAGTTTTTAGTCATTCTCTCCTTCCTTCACCTGTGTTGTCTGTCCATGCTGGGAATATTTTCTGCTGCCACACCATCATCATTCAATAACTCAAACAGCTCTTTACCCTAGTAGTTAGTTGCAAATTAGTATTTTCATACTCTGTTTTTGATTCTGTTCTTGATATGGAAAGGAGAAGCACAGTCATGAAGTCAAATGCTTCTGAGTACCAGTTTCTCCTGCCCCTGAAGTGCTGACTGCACTGCTCGGTTACTGGTGTGCTGCACTGTAACATTGCTGATCTGTGTTCAGTCTCCTGAGAGTTCTACATCTGTTCCTTGCAGTCAGACCATCCTATTCCATATGTTCATTTCAATGCCACTCAGCTAACTGGATGTAGATATGTAACTTGAGTTCAGTCTGCTTTTGGACAGTTTGTTTATTTGTTCCTGAGTTCTAAGTAGATATTATTATTTTCTTTTGTGGACAGTTGTCATTGTAGATATCAGCACAGTCCTGGAAATATTACAGAAGTTCACAAATTTTTTTTTTCTGAAAATGGTTAAGACCACTAGAGAGTTTTGGTTAAACTGACACTTCTGTCACCTAGATGGGAGCAGAGTGGGAGGAGTGTGTGATGTGTGTCTCCATCCTGCTTCATTACTTCTATTCCCCCCACCACGTACTCCAGTAAATGCTTAGTGTACATACTTAATTCACTGACCCCTTCAAAACTGTTCACCACAGATTGGGCATTTTTGTGTAAGTTAGAATTAACTGTAAGTTAGAATGGAACTTACATGGGCATTTTCCCTAGGAAGTTAGAATTAGAAAAATACCCAAACTCAGGCTGTTTCATTGCTTACCAGCCACAGTCTGATTCAGCAGCGAGTGTAAACTTCAGTCTGATTATCCCACCAAGACTGTGGAAAGCTTGCTGAGGAGCTTGGCAAGAATTGCTTGTTTCAAGCCGTGTTTGCCTTAATGTCTGGGAGCAGCCCCATCCCACTCTCCTGCTGTGAAGCTGCAGGCTAAACCCCGGCTGAGGGGGGGTGGCCGGGCTGAGCTTCGAGCAGGGTTTGGGGGGCTGGGGAGGGAGGTTTGGTCCTGGGGCACCCCACAGGACTGGGTCACTGCTGCCTACAGCTCAGGTGGGAGATCCACAGTGCCCTGTCTGCTCAGGCCGTGGAGAAAGGGCCACTTGGCACTTCCCTTGGGAAAACAGAGAGGGAATCATTCACCCCCAAATACTCTTTGTAAACTGCAGGATTTTAGTGAAAGGCACTGGGATGTCTTCCCAAAGAAGGTATCTGTATTTGAAGTAATGACAACATCCAGTATCTGTCCCCAAGAAAATTACCCTGACTAAAGCACCTTTATAGCCTTCAAAAATAAGGCTTTCAGTTTGTTGTTTCCTGATGTATTAAAGTGGGAACTGCAGACTCATTATTCCAGGCCTGTTTGCCTGGTCTACAGATGCAATTTCAATGTTCAGCCCTACTTTGTCAATCTGGTCTGACAACACAGAACTGTTGAATCACTTAATTTTTTTTCTTATATTCAGTCATTTATTTGAAAACATCAGCTGTGTTAATAAGACTTTCTGGCTTAGGAAATTTAAAATAGTAAAGGAAAAAAAAGAAACATAAGTAGAAACCTCCACAATATGGTTGGCAGTGTGAGTAATAGTTACATTCATTTATAGGTGATGAAGAATATCTTTTCACATTAGTTTTAAAATACTTTGGAAACTGAATAAAGGAATAAGACTACCACTTTTTAAAGGAACCACTTAAAATGTTGGTACCTATGGCAGTAATGGATTTAAGGATGCAATAACATCAGCTTTTCTGACTTTTGCTGTTGGGTGTCCATCTTCCAGATATTGCAGTAGTAGCTGGAGGATTCCTTCCAACTGAAGTTTATAGAAGGGTAGAATTTAACATGATGTGTGCCATACACCCATTTTATTCTTCTTCCTTCATGAGTCTGCAAGTCACAACCTTTCTTCCTCCAATAGCCATATGTAGTAAATATAGTCTGTGAACCACTGCAGGATGCTTTGGTTTGGAGAAGCAAAGATGAGCTGGGCATCCAAAAAAAAACCTTCCCTTAATTAGACATGTTGGAATCCTTTGGATGCAGCTGCACCTTTGCACTGTATGGAAACCTGAAGTATTTCCAGACTCCTTCCCAGTTATATCATTATACTACTGATACTGCATTGAAATGATTTTGAGCATGCATCATCTGTAGGGCTGCCATCCCTTTGTTTAGTGAGATGGAAATGTTTTGTACTTTATGGCATTTATTTTTACAACAACAAAAAAAAAAGTCATTTGCAATATCTTAAAATCTTCCAAGGGCCTCATAAGTCAGTCGTCTTTGTTCTGGAGCTGGAGGGAGTTGCCCTTAGGTGTGTCTTGTTCATAGGAAGATAAAAGTCATTATTTTCATTATTATGAGTGAATATAGTAAAGGAAATAGAAATGTACTTTAAAACGCATTCCACCTTTTTTTGTCTATCAAGACTTAAATTTAAAATTCTGTGCCCTCCCTCCATTTGCTGCAGCTGTACAAAGTCCCATTGCAATCCAGTACTTGTCAATGTACATTACAAAGAACAAAGAGGGGCTTATAGAGAGGAATACAAGTCATAATTTCAGTTCTTTGCATGCATTTGTTTGTGATTTCAAGAATATTTAATCATCTTGTACTCCACAGAATTATAGAGTTTTTTAGGTTTGAAAAGACCTCTAAGATTATTGAGTCCAACCATTAACCCAGCTCTGGCTCCTACCCTGTGTCCC